GGCTTCTCCGGAAGTACTGGACTGTTGCGGGTTTACAAGGCTGCTGTAAAACACAACCACTTAAAAAGCATATACAACTTTCTCGATTCACAAATAAAACACCGCATTTATCCAAGAATATCTGCCTGCAAGCGGATGTGCTGAGAGAGCGAAGGCAGCAGGTTTAAAAACTGCTCAAAGCAAACACATCTATTACATTTCATGACTTGCCATTTATGAATAACTCTTGTTATCATTGTCCAGCTATTTTGTTATGTTGATAAATGTATTTTTTGTAGCTGTCAAAACTGAAAAAAGGTTTTACAGCTGCAATTGTATGACTGATGTGAAGAAACGCTTTCAAATGAATAAAAATATCCAACTCCGTCCCATTAATGTTCTAATTTATTTGGGAAAGATGCTTGGTTTGCTCAATTCCTTTCACTGTGTACATCGTTAAATACAAAATCAAGATGTTGATTTCTGTCTGAAGGTCATTGCTTACAGTCAACAGCTCCCCCACCCAAAGTTCAGCAGGCCCCCTTAAATAAGTGAAGCGTTTTTCGTATACTGTGTACCTTTTACGTTTCAATTCCCTTGCTGTTAAATGGAACCTTTTTTAAACAAGACGGTATTACTACTTAATTAGTTTATATCGGTTATATTGGTATTTGCCTATTGCTGTTGCAGATTAATGCTTCAGGCCTACATACGGGACTTTTTTGAGTGAGATGCAGTAACCTGTTTGGCTGTAGGGGGAGCAATTACACAGAACAACAAAGGAGACCCCCATTAAGACTCCATCTCAAAGGTGGAGCGATATTTAACATTTTCCTCAACATTCAGTCAATGGCCGCAGCAGTCCAAATTATTAATTGAAAAATGTAATCTTGCTCATAACTGAATTAGAAAGGCATCTATTTACAATTCCATTAGCTCCTGCCTCTCTAAGTGACCAAGACAACATTCCCTGCAATATCAGTTAGAAACTGTTTGTCGATGGACTATTTGATAGTGAAGATCACGTGAAATATGTCAACACATGTATGTTGACACTATTAGACAATATATCCAAAACATCAGTCGAGCATCGAAAGAAACTAGTCGTGCGTGACAAAGGGTGGTTTGGACGGCGGGTAAACAGGCCTCTCCACTTTATAGCTCCGATTCACTTACAGACTATAATATTAAAACCCAGCATTTAAGAATATTTCCAGTTTTTGTTTCGAATCAGATGTCTCGAAAACACATTTCTTCCTGAACAACAGATCATGAGGACTTGATGAATGTACACAAATAAACCTGCTCAGGAACATAATGTCTAAATAAAACAGGACGGAATTATATCCAAATAATACAGTCATGTATTATTGAGATTGTTTTGATTGGGGATAAGACAGGCATTGTAATTACGAAATGTTGAAGTGCAACAATTAACGAACAGACCTTACTTTTGCACGACCGAAAGGCATGATTAATAGAAAATATATCATAAGATATTTTTTCGTTTTTACGTGTTATTATCATTATCAGGAGCTCTAAACTTTTCCATGCTTCAAAAGGTTCAATCTATTAAATTGTGTCAGATATGGCATTACTTTAAATCCCTCTAATTTATGCGGTCTTCAAATATTTCTATAATATAAATATACTATCGAAGAAATAATATTTTTTACTTCATACATTTTAAAATGAACATTTAAATAGACACCTTGTATTAATAAATATGGTAGATAAGTACAAATAAGAGCACTTTTCTAAACATATAAACACACAATGACTTCTGAGAGAGCAGAGGCAGACATACCTGATGTATAGCAGGGTGAATGTGCAGACGCTGTGCTGACAGAGCTTCGCCCCTAGATGGCGACATAAACTGAGAATGGATGAAGCCCACAGAGACTGAGACCCTGCAGGCCTGTAGGCCTCACACACCACTTTAAGGAATAAACTATAGCCATACTAAATGTAACCAATTAAATAATATATGTGGCCAAGCTTGATCCATCAAGCATCCATGATCAAATTGGACAAACAATTTGAATGAAAAAGACAAGATCACATTGCGTC